AAAAAAGGTTGAAGAGGTTTGTGTGCATGAAGGCTTGTGCACAGCCCGTGCCTTCAGCCGAGCAAGGCTGGTGGCTGCATGGGATGCACCAGGGAACCTCCGTCCTTCGGAAGCTGGAGCCGCAACTCCAGACACAAACAAACAGGCTTCTGCTCCGCTTCAGGGCCAGTCTCGTCCCTTATGTTTAGCAAGCGTTGTGCCTTTCCTGGAATGCTAAGCAGCATTTGGGCATGTGGGACTGACTAATGACTTAACTTTGCAGCTAGGATGTTTCTGAAAGGCATCGGCAGCAGAAAGCGTAGGGATCAAGGTCAAAGCAGCGGCGCACCCAAGAGCATCGTTGCCAACATGCAAACTGATGCAGGGAAGGGAGAATCCAGAGCACATCGGTCTTCCAGGCCATTGCAGCGACCGGAGTTTGCTTCTGAAACAGGAATGATTTAAAGCTATGAGGTCTGCTATTGGAGGCCTCTTGAACTCTGTGTGAATAGAAGGGGTTTCAGCAGCTTCTGGGCAGAAAACGGACCAAACAGAGCAGAGAATGGGGCTTATTGTGTCCAGTGGCCAGAGTGGCCAAAGATGCCTGAGAGACAAAGTGGCAAACAGAGACCTCCCGCGCAATTAGTCTCTTGACCTCTGTGGTTCAGCGAGGGATGCCGGGAACGGAGCTGTGGATCACAAGGCCCCCAGGAAGGTTTCCTTGACAACACTTACTGAAGAAAAATGAGATTTCATGAATGCAGCGTGCGTTAGCACGTGAGAGGCTGCCTTTAGAAGAGACAAGGACGCAGCACCTAGCAGAAACCAGCCCCTCGGTTTGGGGCATGTGAAGTAGTGGCTCAGTGAACTGCTTTTTCAGAGAAACTTAATTAAACAGGTATTACAACCATTAATATTTGTTTAGAAATGCAGCCGCTGCAGTAAAAGCAGGCTCACTGTTGAATAATTTTTCTGCCCACAAAATCTTCTCCACCTTGAATAAGCACTGGCACACAGAAGGGAATCTTCTGCTCACGGCTGATAGTTTCAGTACGCTGCAGCTGGGGCTTAAGACTCTTTAGATCTAGCATTGTTTCACCGTTTACAAACACAAACCGATTGTATAGAAAGACTATGTATAACAATATAATATATCATAGTAATAGCAATAATACCGATCCAATAATTACAATAAACAGAGCAGATAGATAGATAGATAGGTGTTTAGTATTGCCAAACTTAAACCGTTTGAAAGAACCAAAAATAAAGATATTTGTGTTCAAAACCTGAATAGATGGATTTTTAGATTATACATTTGGGACTTTTTAATTTCTTCTTGCTGTTTCAGCTAGCTGGACTTAAATTTTCATCCTTATAGGATGTCTCCTAGGGATAGCAGTACCATGACTTTGCCCTGAACTCAAGCCATCAGCCATTGCATAGCCAAAATATCTCAGGAAATCAATGCAAGTTTTTCCTCAAGAAAAGACCCGTGACCTTTTCCAGTGAAAGTCTTGGCCGCTCCGATGGTGTTTGCCCAGCAGACAAACAAAGAGCATCTTCTTAAAGAGCAAAGCCAGCTGGCAGGAAATCAACTGCTGAATCAAGGCGCCGGGAATCAGCCAGGCAGCCCTGAGCATCGCAGGAGCGTGGGGCAGACCCAGGGCTGCAGCTGAGGCTCTTCCTCACTTCAGGCTAGAAAGAAAGTAAATACAGGCGTCGAAGTTGCAAAGTTTGTCGGTGTTGAAGCTGTAGATACGCACGCAAGGGTCCAAGCCGTGTACGCCGCTGGAGAAGGAGTCGGAGCAGTCTGTGAGTCCTTATGGCCGTTAAAGACAAGTAGCAGCAAAACTGCTTTCAAGTCACTTTTTTACAGGCCAAGTGGAAAAGCATCTAGATTTCTGGGTAAAACATTCTTCTTTTTTGCATGAGTATCTCCCTGCCAGTCCTGGCTGGCCCAGTACGATCAGCCTTTCCCATTTGCTTCATTTATTGCATCCTTTTAAATTTATTTCTAACATTTGATTTTAAGAAGAAACCTTTTATTCAAGCTGAACTTGGGAAGTGTAAAAGCAGGTTAGCTTGCAGGAGCGGGTATGTACGGACGTGCCCTGCATACCTGGACCTGACACTGGGCTTTCTGAGCCTCTCTCCTGCATCTCTACCAGCCACATCAGCATCGTGGGAGTGATATTTGTTGTCCCAGCTGATTTCAGAAACGCAACAAAAGACACAGATCCAAAGCAAATCAGATTAAAGGCTTTAAAAGCTTAATAAACTTAGAAGAGCAAACCTAGCTGATAACACAGCTCTGATAGTAGGCTGTAAAGGATGGGGAGTTAAAGAGTGACGGGTAACTTCATCAGCATCCCTTCTTCCTCGGCGCGAAGGGAACAGATTGAACTCTCCAGCTCATCAGCACAACAGGAGCAACAGGAGAGAAAGACGAGGGGATAGAAAAGATTTGAAGGAGCAGAACTTAAACAAGCACACCCACACAACCCCCAGCCCCTGTTGAATCAGCTCAGTGTCCTGCTGGCGTCGACATCTGCCAGCAGCACTGTCCTGCCAGAGCTATCGGAAACTGGAACGGTTTGAACCCCCCAACGAGAAACTGGTCCACATTTTGAGATGTTTTCTAAGAGCATTTTGCTGTGCTGCAGCAGGCTCCATCGGGCGATGCCCTGCTCCAGCTCAGGTACGGCTTCCCTCTCCCGTAAAGTTTTAATGCTGTAAAGACCTTGAGCGTGCCCCGCCGGGCTGGCTCCCGAAGCCTTTCCCTGCTCGCTGGCTGTGAGCTATGTGATAGGACTCTCTGTAAACTGCAGAACGTCTTCTCTGCCTTCCTTATCTTTCCCGGCTGTATAAATGAAGGATAGCCCAACAGAGAGCTCTGGCTTGTTTTGTTTGCCTGGCTAACGATTGCTTCACACGGTTATTTGCTATTCCGCTTCCGCTCGGATCAGCAGAAATGTGGTTTATTTCAGGAGAGAAAAGTCTGCCCCAACTATTCCAATTTTAGTACCGCAACAAATCATCCCATTTAAAGAATGAAAAGTAAAAAAATGTTCTGTGGGCTTGAGAAGCAAAAAGGAGCAGAAGGAATCCTATTTTTAATAAGAATAGTCATAAAGAAGACAAATTTGTCCTCCCTGATGAAAAGGTCCTGTCAGCTTCGAATGGGTTGAAACCTGCGCCACAATCTGTGAAATTTCTCTTTACAACCAATCTCTCCGGAATATAATAGGCTTTCTCAATCGAATGGCGTGAATCATCTAAAGCACGCTCCGGCAAGGCTATTACTCTGCAGAAACTTGGCAGCAGCGGAGAAAGACGGCATTTCCCCTGCTCAGCCAGAGGGACCCGAGAGGGGTTCGGTATGAGGGTGCAGACGTATCGGTACCCATAGGCAGGGGCAAAGCCCGACCTTGCCATTTCTGAGCCAGACTGAAGGAAGGGTCCCACAACACGCTTTCCATCCCATCCCCGAATCAAGGCCAGCTTAGCACAAACATCAGCCCTGTTTACCTGCAAATCTCAGCAGCATCTAACGGGTAGGCTTTGCGCACAGCCCTGTGGTGTAATGAGTGAAATGGCTGCTTATCTCTTTGGTTTTAGCAAATATTTTCTTAATTCTGCTAGGTTCCTGGGGGAAGAGGGACAAGGCCAGGGGAACTTCAGGCTGCATTTCTAACGGCTGGATTGCAGCACAGACTCGCTACCTTCGTGTCAGTAATACAGCACGAGAGTTCCATCAGCAGCAGTTGTCCTTGCCATCAACACACATCTTGCAGAAAATTGCTGTTATTTTCACAAAAGAGGGAACAGCTTGCCTGAGCTGGCACATCACACCGACGTGAACCCGCCCAGCTCCCGCTCCCCTTAGCTGAACCAGCAGGCAGGCACAGCCGATCTCAGGACCAGCCGAGTCATGCCAGCAGCTTGCAGGGGCACAAAAACATAATAAAAAATCACAGAATCACAGAATGGTAAGGGTTGGAAGGGACCTCGGGAGATCACCCAGTCCAACCCCCTGCTAAAGCAGGCTCACCCAGAGCATGTTACCCAGGATTTCGTCCAGGCGGGCTTTGAATATCTCACAAGAAGGAGACTCCACAGCCCCCCTGGGCAGCCTGGGCCAGGGCTTGGTCACCCCCAAAGTAAAGAAGTTTTTCCTCATATTCAACTGAAACCTCTTCTGCTTCAGTTTGTGCCCATTGCCCCTTGTCCTGTTGCTGGGCACCACTGAGAAGAGTCTGGCTCCGTCCTCTTGACTTCCATCCTTAAGATATTTGTATGTGTTGATGAGGTCCCCTCTCAGTCTTCTCTTCTTCAGGCTGAACAAGCCCAGCTCTCCCAGCCTTTCCTCCTAGGGGAGATGCTCCAGTCCCTTTATCATCCTAGTTGCTCTCCTCTGGACTCTTTGTAGGAGTTCCTCATCTTTCTGGAACCAGGGAGCCCAGGGAAAATGCAGGGAAAGTGGCAAAGGAACGTGAATCAGGACAGGAACAACCCAGAGACAAGGGCAGACAGAGTAAGGGAGAGGGAAGGATGACATGAAGCTAACTTCTAGGATCATGGGGGAAAATCCAGAGTGGCCAGGGACCAGAGACCTCTCTAGGAGCTGTGCCCCTGCAGATCAGCAGGTCCAGCTCCAGGATGGTCGGGCACCTCTCACTTCACAGACCGATGTTTTCCCTGGTCCAAACAAGGCAGGGAACATCACGAAGCAGTGGAAGGACAAGCTCTCCCCTTTTATACAGCCCTAATGGCAAATGCTCATTTATGAGAAGAAAACACTTTTCCAGGCATGGACGCCCTGATTCTGGAGTGGGAAAACTCATGGCAGAAGGCATGGGTGGGAAGGCTCTGTCTTTATCCCCTTTCCAGGGCCTGGAGGCAAGAGGCGAAGCCGAGCAGGGCGTTATCTCTGCGGAGCACACCCCAGCGTGTCCCCTCCGCTAATTGATGCTCTGCGCGGCACAAACTCCCGCGCTAACGCGACGCACAAAGCCAATTAAATGCCTGATTGGATGAAGCGGTCACAGTCAAGTGACCCATTGCCAACCAGTCAGGATTCAAAATTTCCAAATAGCGTTAAGGTTATGTGCGTTAATCCCCTCCTAAAAGATTAAGCGTTTAACCTATTGCTGCTGTTTCTGATGAGATACGGAAAATCTGCTGTGCTCGGGGGGGAGAGCAGGCCGAACGGTGAAACGAGCAGCATTTGCCCTGTTCCAGCCCCGGAGCCCTGCACATGGCCGTCCAGAACATCTTCACAGCAGCTTCCAGGTGGATCACATGGATCGGAACGGGGCAGTGTGCGTTGCTTCAAAGGGAAGACTAATTATTTTGCAAAAGAGGGAGTTTTGGAGACCATCTCCATTCCCTCCCCGCTCTCTCTGTGTCCCTTTGCCAGTGAAAAGAGATGTCAGGGAGGGAAAGCTGCTTATCATCACGCTGATTGATCTCCCTTAGTCAGGGCTGCTACAGATTTCTTTGAAATACGGGATTTTTGTTGAACGTCCAAGGTAGTGTTGAGAATTGCAACGCCTTCCTAGCCCAGGAGGGATGCAAAGGTGATTTCCCCACCGATGCTGGAAGAAGGAGGAAAAATGGTCATTGATAGATGTGGCTTCCTTCATCCTGCAGCTTGACCGGGACCTGCAACCACTCACATCCTTAAACGCTTTGAGATATTTGAGCTCCAGTGCTTGGCCCCCAGCTGCCATTTAGAAGCCAAGCCAGGAAAAGATGTCAAATAGCTGATTACACACCATGGGCTAGGATCATCCATGGTTAATGTCGAATTTGTAGTTAAATTAATATTAACTATCAATAGTAAATTAATATTAACTATCTAGATGACCTCTAGGGGTCCCTTCCAACCCCAAACATTCTATGATTCTATGATCAATGGTAAATTGTAATTATTTATTTAGGTGAAAACAAATATGAAATGCAATAATGCAATCCCAGCGTACTGCTATGGCAATGAAACAGACTGAAATCTTACCCGTCGTTGCTGATACACAGATGAAAAGCACATCTGTGTGCAAATATGATTCGAAAATCAGGCCCAGCACTTCAACAGTAACGGAGTTTTATTTCCAGAACATAGTGCTGGCCTTGAACCACGTTGTTAGTGCGGGAGAGGAACACAGCCTGTCCTCCTGGAAAACCCATGTGTTTGCAGAATTTCTTTGCTGGGTGGAAGCATTTTCCGGGGCGGGGGGCAAAGGTGGAGGGGAGAGTTTCCTCCTCTCTCGCTTTGATGGATGTGTGCTGGAGAAGAGAAACACGGGAGGTGTCAGGAATGATGGAGTGATGCCAAAAGCTCTGACAAATGGGCTCTCGAAAGTCCTACTGCAGCCGTTTAAGCTGTTACCAGACGTCACCTGTGCCAGGGCCACCTCCTCGTGGCAAAGTGCACAGAGCAGAGGACGTGCCCCCACATGGGCACGGGAGCTCACTGGTCCGCGTTAGCTTAAGCCATGGGAGGAGATGGGATGAGTACAAAGTGGAAGGTGGGGGGGTGTAGGCACACGTTCTGTCCTGCTGACCTGGTTCACAGGCAGTAAATTGCTTTGGGAATGGAGCAACATCTTCAGCTGCTGCAGTGATTTGCTCAGGGCGCGTGTCAAAGCCTTGAGAATGAACACCATGAGACCAGAAGCTGTAACTCTCCTTTCCCTTCTCCCTTCCAGCTTGCTGCATTAGAGAGGCAAGTGTTCGACTTCCTGGGCTACCAGTGGGCCCCTATCCTAGCCAACTTCCTCCACATCATCATCGTTATCCTTGGCCTCTTTGGCACCATTCAATATAGACCTCGCTACATAGTGGTGGTAAGTAACCTTCGCTTTGGTCAGAGCCATTCAAAGCTTTTTGCAGCCTCCGCCCTGGCGGGATACGGCAAGCCATGAGGAGCTGAGTAAAACCCTTGGGAAATCACACAGGAGCGTGCTAAATGATTTTAGCAGGAGGTGCTGCGCTTAGGAACACATCGTTCAGCGTGCTGCACTTTTACCGTACTTACTCCACACTTGGAAGGCATCAGAGAATCATTACCGGTACCAAAGTCACACGGAGATGCTGCACAACAGCCAGGGAGAACGAGATGCTGGAGAAAGGCACGGCAGAAGCTCTTCTGCTCCCTCCAAACTTCTGCCCCTGTGTCTCTAATCAGGCAAGGGAGCATCTGCACGTGGGAAACAAGCAGAGGGAGAGAAAAGGATTCAGGGCTGACTCAGGGCATTTAACTGCCCCCAGCTGCAGCACATGGATATATAAAAACTAATTCCAGTGACTTCCTAATGTTTATCGCTTCTTTCTCTCCCCCTGTTCCATTCCAGTATGCCATCTGGACTGCAATTTGGGTCACCTGGAACATCTTCATCATCTGCTTTTACTTAGAAGTGGGAGGGCTCTCCAAGGTGAGTGGGACCTTTGTGGGTGAGTGCTGGGGTTTTGCATCACGGGATGGAGCTCAGCCAAGGGGTAAGGGAGGGGGGGTTAGGGTGAGTGGCCGGGGGCTGCCTGGGAGCAGCTTCTGCTCCCTTGCCTACAGAGAGGGCTGCCTTACGAGGGGTTGGAGGAGTACCGCTTATGGAATGGTAAAAATGGGCAGCTAGCACTGATTTTTGGAGTCTTTTGCTGCTGAGTGCAGGCGGTGGCTGGAACCAGCCCTGCCCTTGCAGGAGGTAAAGCGTATTTGCTTTTTAAAGGTGAGAGGGAGCCTGGCAGCAGAGCTGCCCTGAGGGGAGCTGGGGGTTGAGGGCTAATTCCCAGCCACCAAGCAGAGGTGGCTGAGGCAGGCTGTGAGCTAACTGGATTACAGCTGATCCTCTTGTGATCTGATAACACCTTGGGAGGGAGGTGCAAGATGTGGAGGGGAAGCTCTCCTGCAGCAGAGAGCCTGCTCTGTCCTGGGAAGAGCTGCAGCAGGGGCTGGGTCTGGCTGGGCTGACTTGGACCCAAGGACTTTGCTGTAACTCCATACCTGACCTGTTCCTGATATTTTTTTGCCTCCCGGTCCTGCTGACGACCTAGTGCCCTTCAGCAGCAGGGGTAGGTACCTGGTTGTTGCCACAGCAGGCAAAATATTTCCCGTTGCACCTTTTGGGAGAGGCTCTTCTCCCTGCTGAGCAGAGAACAAAGCAGAGGGATGCTGGGGAGGCTGGGGCACCTCCTCTGGATGTGGCCTCGGAGGTGCTGTGCCTTCCTGCCTCAGTTCTTCCCTCTTAAACAGTGGTAGTTATTTATGGCTCTTGGCCAGGGGTGTTGTGCGTTAATGTGTGAAGCCCTTTGAAGGCTAGATAAGCCAAGTACTGCTGTCTGCTTAATGAGGGTTGGGTCAGAAATAATAAAAATGGGAGGCAGGCCCTAAATTAAGCCTGGGTTGTAAGCGATGAATTACTAAGTGTTGCTGGAGCTTAGCAGACTCCGAGTGATCCTAGGATACAGGTTCATTTCGGAGCGCTCCCAGGTCATACATCTAAGTTGCAGACATAATTGGAACTGCGCTACTTTTTTTTTTTTTTTTTTTATCAGGCGCAGAGCAAGTCATGAGTGACAACATAAATCCTTTGCAGATAAGAAAATGTAGCTTCCTAATTCCTCAATCTCCATTTCCCTTCTCAATTATCCACAGAAACTTTGACTGAGTTCTTCCCCAAAACAGTGATTACTCATGGTCTGAAAGCTCAGCCTGAGATGATCTCGCTGTTGGCCGTCACCAACTAAAAGAAGCATTTTATTTAACTATTTAAGCGCTCCCTTCAGCGCAGGAAATAATTGGCTTGATAAACTGCTCTGAGAGCTTCTCTGACAGCCAGTGTTTGCTTCCAGCCAGCTGATTACTTGTGCTTACTAATCCCAACCTGCCCTGCAACGCGTCGGGTTCTGTTCTGCAATTCCAACAGCCCGGCAAACTCCACTTTCTCCACTACGGAGGAGCTTCCTCTGCTCACCCTGCTCTCTGCTATGGCTCGCTTTAGCACAGCCAGGACGCGGAGAACCTCAATTTCCCCTACAGGGTGATTCTTGTGATCGGGGGCTTTTTTATAGGATTGGGCTGCAGTATAAGTTGTTATTGACTCGGTGGACTTCCCTCCAGAGCTGCAAGGAGGAATTAATGCTGTTAGTTTGGTGGCAAGTGGCAAAACCGAGAGTGTTTGTGCTCATTGGGTGGTAAAATCCTTTATAGCCTTGCCTCTGTTTTTAATGAGGTTTTTTTCACTTAAAAAGGCTGTCTGGTAAGAATCATAAAATCATTTAGGTTGGGAAAGACCTTTAAGATCATGAAGTCCAACTGTTACCCTAACCCTGCCATCCCACCACTAACCCCTGTCCCTAAGCACCTTGTCTGCCCGCCTTTTAAATACCCCCAGGAAAAACTCACGATGCTGCCTTCTTTCCTCCTCCTCCCCTTGAAGTGAAGTTATTTGGGTCTTTGTAGGCAAAACAAACCCCTCGCTTCCACAGGAGAGCACAAGGTACTCTTGAAACGGGAAATGAGGCTTCTGTAGGACAGTACGGTGCCCTGCAGGTTGGACTGAAGAGCAGCATTGCTCTCCCCCTGCATCTCTAGAAACCAGATCCAAAGGCAGCTGACACCTGCAGAGCCTTATTGATCTCTGCAGGCTTGGGATCAGACCCCAGAAAGATGCCTGGCTTGGATGGAGGTGTGTTGAGCAGGCTCTTGGAGGGGCAAGGGGGTTTATGGCAGAGGAGCGGGTACCTCTGTGTGCCCTGGGGGCCTTGGGAAGAAGCTGCCCTTTAGTTCCTAATAAGAAGCCCAAGCCAAAGCTTGCAATTAGCCTGGCAGTAAGCAGGGAGATTGCAAATATCAGAAGAGCAGCTTTGGTGGAGTGAGGCTGGTGGAGCTGGTCAGGTAAACACTAACTCATTAACTGCTAGGCTAAGCAGGAATAAGCTGGGGAGTGTTTCAGGCAGGGCTGTGCTCCCATGCAAGTCCCTTAAGGGGCTGACAGCTCCAGGGAAGCTCTTCAGGTGCTGTTTCCTCCGTGATTCCTGGTGAGCCCGTGGGAGAGAGCTGGGGGAGCAGGGGAGTTGTGTTCTGCCGGCGCTGTGCTGGCCCTTCTGTGTTCCTGAGACGGGCAGCCTGCCAGGGGGAACTGTCAGCAGCTGGCTGATTTATCATGACAAAATGCAGAACGGGCAGGGAGCTAGAAAGAACGGAGTTTGTTAACTTGGTGGCTGGTAATGACAGTCCAGTGCAGCTGAGACGGGTGATAACTCAGGTGGGGTGAGAAAGGGGGGGAAAGGATCCAAGTGTTTTCTGCTGTAACAAGTTTAGGAAAAGCCTGAAGAATTGCAAAGGTGAGGAGATGGGTATGTGCGCTTCTTGCAAATGATTTGTGGTGCTCCGGTGCCTAGATGTGATTTCACGGTGGCGAGGGAGCGCAGGATGTGAGCAGGGACGGGCTGTGCGGTGCAGGGCTGAGCTGAGCATGGGCACTTGCTCTTGTGCCCCCCTTGCTTTGGGTGCCCAGCTGATCTAAAGAACCAAAACTAGGGGCAGCAGGGCTGTGGGGTGAGGTCCCACGTAAGCCTGTAATTTGGCAAAGGGGTTAAGAGACTGTCTCTTAGATTTAAACTCGGTGTCATCAGTAGAATATGAGCTGGTGGGTGTGTGGCTGTTGAACTGCAGTTTGGGGGCTGGCTGTTTGCTTTACCTTTCCCAAGCAATCGAGTCTCCACTGACTCTGTCCTCCGTGGGGTTGTCAGCCCACTGCTTCTCACCCTCCCTTTCCCCCTGCCTTTCACATCATTTCCTACAGTGCTCTTCCTCCAGCAATGCTTGCTCTCTCCTGGCCACGGAAACCCTGAGAACGGCTGTGCTGGCCACTGCTTGGGGTGGTTGTAACTCCTTACTAACCATCGACCTCCTACCTGTGGGTTGTAACTACCCCAAGTTATTTTTTTTTCCAAAAGGAAAATGCTCTTTCCTGCTCACTGCAGGGGGGTTGGACTAGATGACCTCTAGGGGTCCCTTCCAACCCAAAACATTCTATGATTCTATGATTCTATGATTCTATGATTCTATGATTCTATGATTCTATGAATCTGTTATCTACTTCTTGAAAGAGCTAAACTGGCCTGATTTCTAAATTTCTATCCTATCATTTTTTTTTTAATCTTGCAGTCTTTTCTTAGTAGGAATAAGGGTGTGAAATTTGGCACGGCAGAACTTCGTTATGTGGCCAGACACAAACGGATCAGCGTTAAGTGTCTAAGAAAGCACCTCCCTTGCTGCCGCAAGGGCTTCCCTAAGCGGGCAGCCTATGCCAGCTTTCCTGCAAGCGCTTTTGCCAACGAGCAGACCAGAGCCACGGCAATCTGGATTCGGGGGGTTGCTTCTCGGTGCTGGCAGCGAGATGGTGCCGTGCCTGCGAACGGCTTTTGGCAGCGCTGCCTTGCTCCGCTCCTGCTCTGAGCGCACTTGCAGCATCTGGGGGAGCCGCAGCCGCTCCGAGCGCCGTACCTCCGCTCCGCGGCGGGGCTCACAGCCGCATTTCCAGATTGCTGTTCTTCCTCCTCTGGTCTGCTCCTGTTCCCTCTCCCTCCTTTCTCTTTGTCCATCTGGCCGTTTGGTTGGGTGAATTGTTGGGAGCTCTCTCTGAAGTTTCTAGGCTGTGCTTGAAATAACACGTTAAGCTTCTCCCTGTCTACTCAAGTGTGAAACACAGCCCCTCCCGCAACCCCCCAGTCTGAGTTAATTATTAAAATCCTGCTGTTAAGACATATGAGCATCTGTCTGTCCAGCTGCCACGTTGATTGACTCTTCATCTTGTACTTGAGACGCATTCAGGGAGGTTTGAGGAATTGGTGTTGTGTATTCCTTTGTCTCTTCCCCCTGGAATTATTCATCTTGGAATGGTGGGTTTGGGTTTTTTTTAAACCCTTCCTTTATATTCTGTCTTCTCTATCCAATGCTTTGATCTGAATCCAGAGCCGTGGTGGTGGATTAAATCTCCTCTTGATGTGGAAGCAGCCCTTATTAGGCAAATGGGGGGTTATTTGTATTCCAGAGAATCTGGATGGCATCTTGGGATGACTCTTTGTACCTGGAGAAAATACTGTGAGGAGGATGGATAAATGCATGTGTCCCTCATCTCCCATCTAAGTTTAGAAACTGGAAGCCTGGGATTTGGCCTTTAAATGCTGTGGTGTTGTCAACAAGCCTGCAGAGAGGTGATGGAAGTGAGAGGCGATGGAAGTGCGCCTCTGTTGTCGGCACACGTGACGAAGAGATAAACATTATATTTCCTATTTTGATAAGAAATGTTTCCAACTGAAAAGATTTAACGTGATTCTGCTGTCAAGTTCTGGGGGCTCCCATACAGGGTTCCGTTTGTTTCCAGAGCTATTGCAGTGCTGGCTTGCCTGATAATTAAGGAAATCTGGGGGCAGGCGGTTCAGAAGGCTGTTAGCAGCAAGAAATAAAACCACCTCTGACAGCATCCCCTAGAAAATCATTTCAGAACAGCTTCCAGAAAACTGCTTTAGAAGAGGAACACAGCTGCCTTTGTGGGTGTCGGGGGTGGGCATGAGTTTCCCCGTGGGACACAGTGGGTTGAGGCTGGGCGTGGAAAATAGGCTCTGTAAAATGCAGGTACGACAGTTCTAGTGCTGTGGTCTTCCTCCTCACACTGATGGCGAATGGATGGCAACCAGGTGCTGCAACAGTTCGGAGAGAGATGTGGGGGGTTTGTAGGGTTTTTTGGTGGTGGTTTTTTCTGGCTGGCCTTCAACATCCCCCCCGAGAAGGAGCCCGTATCTCTCATTGCTTGTCTTTTCCTTCAGGCTGAAGGTTAAAGAGGAAGCGATAAAGCGATAGCCCTTTGAATAGCAGCCGGCAGGAAGCAAGGGGGAGCGCGGTTACGCACAGATCCCTCCCTCCCTCCAGCAGGGCTTGCTCGCTTCTGGGACTCATTAACATCTCCCAACCTGCCTACCACTTTTGGGAGTATTTCAGTGTGTTTAGACTTCAGATGCCTCGCAGAAAGGTTTGGGGAAACAACAGTTTCCTAAACTTTCTTGCAACTGTTTCTTTTCCCCTGATTTTAGCGTGCTGTTCCCATTTCATCATTTCACCGCT